TTGGAATATATTTCCTAATGGCAGGCAGCAAGGGCACGTGTACTTAATGCTCTTCCTAAAACTCTGAGTTGAGCAGCTTTTGGTCACCAACTAGAGCTTAATTAAATAGAGAATCTTAATTATCTTAGTTCAACTTTGGAAGGAACTGTGAGACAGCTTTAGTGTGTAACGGAGAACTTGTGACAGACTTTGATAAACTTTGTTTATCTGAAACAAGATAAGCCCCCAGCATCTATGGGGTAACCCTCTCCTCCAGGCCTAGCTCTGCTGGGCTCCGGGCTCCATCCTCACCCACTGGCCCTGGCCCTGAGGGCTGCAGAGATGGGCTTCTCCCACCTTTGCTGGCCCCAGCATGCTCCACAGTCTCTGGTTGGTGTCTGTAAGCCTGCCCATAATCCCTGAGTCCCTGCTCAGTCACCCTTCTGGGCGTGCCTTCTGTCCCCTGCTCCTGCCAGGAGGGGGATTCCAGGTGCCCTGTGTGCCTCCTCAATGGACAGAGGCTCTCATCCTCGGGGTCCCCACCCCCAGTGCACTGGCGGGTCCATCCCTCCCATGGCCTCTTCTCCGCGAGGTGTGTCTACCAAATACTGGTCTGGATCGCATGCTGCCAATAGGTTTCCGGATGATTTAGTTCTTGACTAAATCCTAACGGAGTGACGATGTTCATCACAGCAGTGTCTCCCTCCTTTGCCAGCATTTTTAGGTGTGAGGACAGGAGCAGCGTCAGAGCTGGTGCTGGGAGGCTGGTGTGTGGTGTGTGGTTCCCGCAGCCCATGCGGCATCTGGAAGGGAGCAAGTCACCACCCGTGTGCCTGCGTAGCTGTGACAGGTACAAATTGTTGTAGCACGTGCCTGGTGCATCCCTGGCGAGTGCACCGCGTGTGGACATTATGCCCTGTGTTCAGAGGACAGTTGTCTGCCAACCAGGAATCCATCCACTTATTTCCAGAGGACTGATGGGCAAAGACCATTGGCAAATCACCACTTTCTCCAGTGTGCCTGAAGAAGCTCCCGCCGGCCTGGTGTCCCTGACATCGTCTTCCGTGGTGTGACTGCGCTGGCAAGGACTGTCCGTTACAGACGGAGCACTGTCTACCAGGATGCCTGCCGGGGTTTTGCCAAATGCACCCTGAGCACCGATACTCAAGGGCTCCTGCTCTGCAAGGGGGATTCTTGTTTTGTGCGCCCCGTCCTTCCCCATCCCTGGGGCCAGAGGGGCAGCTCTCCCCGGGCAGGCTGTGCAGTGTGGAGGTGCGAGGGAGGAGTCAGTAATGTCCATCCTTGTGCCTGAACCTGGGGTCCGGGGGGCTGGAAGCCCGGAGCAGGAGTGCTGCTTTGCCAGACGAGGTCCCAGCAGGAGGTGGGGGTGGGGGTGGGCGCCTGGCCTGTGGCCCAAACGTCTGCCAGGCCAGGGCGCTGACCCTCCGAGCCGGGTCTCAGTTTCCAGCAGTGCAGTTGCAACTGGTGAGTCAACATTCTTTGTGTCATCAGGCAGTAAAACATGTGCTGATTGATGGCATTACCTTTTGAGGAAATCTATGTCTGTGTCACTGCTTTGCTTTGTGTCAGGCAAATACCACGCGCTAAGGAGGAGTCACAGACCCAGATCAGCTCCAGGCATTTGGGTTCTCCGAGAGCCAGTGACTCAGTCTCCCTAACCAGAGTGGCTGCACAAGGCTTTGGGGAAGGCAGGAACTTCTCTGAGCCTCAGGGTCCCATCTGTAAAATGAGTACATGAATACTTTCCACGGGGCTGTTAAACAAAGGCTGAAAGATAAATGCCAAGTCTCTGTCAAGGAGAAGATGCTCAGTGAGGATTTATTATTATTGCCATCACACTTCTATTGTTAAAATAAAACCAGTCCAGGTGTCACGTCCATCTGTACCTGGCTGCCCTGAGCCTCGTGTTCCTGGCATCTTACAGTTAAGACTCTACCTGGTACTCCAGCCCTCATTTGGGAGGCAGAGTCCTCCTCCCCATGGGAGTTCCCACCTTGGTTTCCGGGCCTCCCTCAGCTCCTCAGATGCACCTGCCATGGGTGCCTTCTTCCCCAGGCCCTGCCCGCCTCTGCATCTTGAATCCCATCCCACGGCTGGTCTCACAGGGGTCCAGGTAACACAGCCAGCGGCTGTGTGACAAACATCCTGCTTCTCCTTCATCCTCAGAGCATCAGGGTTCTTCACCTGGGCTCCGCTGAGGTGGGAAGCCCCATGAAAAAGACTGGCAAGCCCCCTAGGCAGGGCCACTACTTTCCTGCCAGCACCATCCGGTTCCCTGGCCTGCGGCCATTATCTCATTTTTTGCCTCTATAAAATGGCTTGCTTCTGGGAAAGCAGAAGTTACCTCTAAGGTTCTTTTGGTTCCCTGAGCTCACTCCTGATTGGTCCATTTCTATCACTCCTGATTGGTCCATTTCTGTCATTCCTGATTGGTCCACTTTGTTATACTTTATTTGCATATGATGTTGCAAAATGTTGCAAAGTCTTGACTGGCAGTCTATAAAAGCCTGTGTAAACCTACAGACGGGGTCCAGAGCTTGGAGTGTTAACTCCTCGGGGCCTGCAGGAGTAATAAACCTGAGTTCTCCAACCCTCCAAGTGCTGCTTGGTCTCTTGTCAGGATCTAGGTTGCTGTCACAACTGAGCTGTAACACACTTTGCTGCAACACCACCAAGATGCCAACTTCTCATGCCCCAGAGCCCTTGTGCCCCTGTGACTTTGAACTGAAGGCTGCTGCTCCCAAGGCCAGCACTGTGGCTGCAGGAAGGAAAGTGTGCCCTTGCCCTTCCACTGGGAGCTCGGCAACCTCTTCCCCAAGGAACTCTGAGGCATGCAGAGCCCTGTGCTGGCATGAGGTGGGGGCGTGCTGCCAGCCACCCCCAAGTGCACCGTCTCTGGGAGAACGGGATCCAGCCCCTGCTGTTCATGAGCTAACTGGCCCCAAAGTCAAAACAGGCTGTGTCAGGACTGTCCACTCCATCACCTTAATCCACAGACTCATGGCTTCTAAAAGGCAAACCAGGCAAACTAGAATATTTCCAAACAACAAAATGTGTTTTGGGCTGTTTGAAGTAACACACCCCTCATTTTCAGTGTCGGCCAGCAGACATTTCTATTTCAGCCCAGACCTCCAAGACCGCCATCTGCTTGGACCCCTGGGCTCCTGGTTCTCTGGTTCTGTAGCTGGGACCTCCAGGGAAGCTGGGCCCCACCCCACCTCGGAGCTGGCCGGCCAGTCCAGGCAGATGAGGGCGACCACGGCCGTGGCTCAGAGGCCCGGCTTCTAACCTGGCTGCCGGTCCCCCTGCCGTGCAACTCAGGTCGCGGTGTTTGGACTCTGGTCTTGCTCCTTAATGTCAAACTGGCTTCCTTCTTCCCCATTTTAGTAACTGACACAAGGTCTCTCCCCACCGTGGAACGTTCTGCAGGGTTTCTGGCCCCACACCTTGATTCAGAGCGTTTGCATTTCTATGGGGGAGATTCAGGGTTTCTCAGAGCAAAGTGGGGATGATCTTTTGAGATATCAATGTGCTTTGTGAAATCCTCACTGGGATGTGAAGCACAGGTGACCTCCCTGGCCTGCAGCTCGATGACTCACGTCCTGGTGAGTGTGTGAGAGGGCAGCAGGAGGGGACAAAGTCTGGGGAGAGACAAAGGGCCCACATCCACCTGCCTGTCACCTATCCACAGTTCAGGTGACTCATGTTTATTTCACATGATGAACAACTCAGAAAATCAGTAGAATCAGGACTGAGGGGGCAGAGCCTCAGCGGCCCCACCACCCAGAGAAAACCGTCTTTATAATTTCCATGTGTTTCCTTCCAGTCTTTCCCTCCTGTGTTTTGTTCTTTGCATTGTGCAGGTCGTGGGGGGCTGTAGTGACCCCAAATGACTTCCCCTTTGAGGGGTAATTTTATTTGGGAAGGACATGTAAATGTCTGCTACCGTTGAACAGTTAGAAAATATATGCCGGGGTGACACCGTGAGAATAATTCGAGAAGCATGAGTCTACAGAGGGTCTAGGTACCAGGATATGGGTGCGGGGACCGGACAGAGTCGGGGAACAAAGTTCACGGTGCGGAGCGCCTGGAGGCGGAAGCAGAGGGGCCAGGGCGACGGCCACGGGACTGCATCCTGGCCACTCACACAGGCTGCTCCCTTCTCAGCCCCAGGAGAGGCTCTCGCCACGAGTTCTGGGTATCAATCCTTTGGAACATCTGTAGAAAGAACTCATTTAAACCGCTGTCAGGTAATGCATCTCTCTTCCCTTTCCAGTTCCAAGTTCCCCTTTGGTACGGTTTCCCCTGCTTTAGGGTATGGAGTGGCACTGGTGTTTGCTAGTCCAAACTTTGTGTTCCTTTCTTAAAGTGGACTACATGGACGGCATCCACTCCAGCTCCTACAGCGCTGATCCACCCTGACAGAGAACGGGTAGGGCTGTCCAGCATCGTGGGCAATCTCTTTAAAGGACTGTAAGCATAAAGGTGCCCCAATGTCCCCAGAGGCTATCTTTGGGAGGGGGGAGGTACTCGGCGCCAAAACCATCCATTCAGTCCTTAGATTCCCCCACCGGCCCTCTCCCCCTGCTGTCTGCTGGGAGGCTGGCCGGCGGGCACATCCACAGGCCCCTGGATGCTCTGGCTCCACTGCAGGGAAGAGGAGAGCCCACCCTGCCCTCCCGCCCTCAACCCGGCTCCCTCCAGACCTGCGACGCAGACAATCCTACCACGCCTCCTCTGTCAGGGTGGACCAGTACTGTAGGGCCTGGAGCTGACTCCGGCTGCATGTTGATTTCCTGAATTTGGCGGCTGCGTTGGAATAAAGAGGGAGAACATCCTTGTTTGCGAAGAACGCACACTGAGTATTGGGGGTGATGGGCGTCGTGCCAGAGGCTCACCCCCGAGTGGTGGAGGGGGAAAAGTCTTTGTTCTCTACTTGAAAATTTTCTGTAAGTTTGTAATTATTTAAAAATAAAAAAGAGGAAGACAGGCGGGCAGGAAGGAAGAAAGGGTGGGTGGGTTTCCTCACTAATTTGACCTCATATGGTGCTTTAGATGTATTTTCAAACATAAGTAGAAATGGAAATATATAACTCTATTAGCATATACAAAACTTATAATCTTAAAACCCATGTCAGCTTAAATAACTTCTTTAGACAGCCTCGGATACTTGTTCTTTGACTGTCATCAGTTCTAGATATTTTTGAGCAAAATCGTTTTTAGGCTTTGAAGCTAAAATCTTTATATTGAAGTTTGTGGACTGTGAAATCACAATACTTTCAAAGGTTGCCAGAGTTTCAGAAAAATGAGACTTCAGTTTGACCTGCTATGCTTGGCATCTCGTTAGGCTGTCCTTGCTTTGATATACTCCCCCAAAAGAAGTTTCCTGGTCTCACTTGGAGATCAGAAAACATTCTTTTCTGTGTCAAACTTTACAATGAAGTAAAAGTAGAGAAAGCAACGCTTCACTCAGAACTTTCTATTCAAGTTTTTCTTTTCTTAAAATTTAAAAGCTAAGAATGAAAATTTTCAAACACAGGGAGAATAGCAGGTAATGTAAAGTATTCCCATGTGTCCACCAATAAGACCTAACAGATGTGAGCATTTGGCCTAAAGAAATAGAAACGTCACTGAGACTGTGTGTGTATTCCTGTTTCCCACGCGTCGCTCCTTAGCGGTGACCGTCGTCTTCAGGTTGGTGTGTGTCCTTTCTTCCATCCATGCAGGCTTCCTGTATAGTTCCACAAACAGCTGTACTTTTCTTCAAGAGCTTTGAAATGTTCTAAAAAGAATATCACTTTTCATGTACATTCCACAACTTGCTTTTTTAATTGAGATAAAATTTAATGAAAACCACAGCTGTTAAGTATACAGTTTGATGAGATTTGATAAATATATACACCCATGTAACCACTAGCCCAATCAAGGTATAGAACATAGTCATTCACCCCTGAAAACTTCCTTCCAGTCAATCCACACCCGTATAGACAACAACGATGTGATTTCTATGATGGTGTATTAATTTCATTTTTCTTAAATGTTGCTGATGGCTACATTAACTTTGCTGAACATCAGTCGACTATACATGTGTGAGCCTATTTTTGGACTATTTTATTGCCTGGACCTATTTGTCTGTCATGCCAATACCCTGCTAGATTGACCACCATAGCTTTATATCAAGTCATGAAATCACATGAAAGTTATGAAATCACAAAGTGTGAGTCCTCAAACATTTTTTCATTTCAAGATACATTTAGATATTTTTAGAATTTTTCAATTTCCATAAAAATTGTAAAAACCAACCTGCCAATTTCTACCAAAGAATCTTCTGGGATTTTGGTTAGGACTACATTGAATCTATACACTAATTTGGGAAGAATTCATGTATTAACAATATTGAGTCTCCCAATCCATGAACATGGTCTACCTCTCTATTTATTTTGGTCTTCTTTGATTTTTCTCAGGGTTGTTTTGTTGTTTTCAGTGTAAAGGTCTCACATCTTCTGTTAAATTTGTTCCTATGTACTTAATGTTTTTTGACACTACTTTAAAGGAATTTTTCAATTTCATTTTCTAATGGTTTGCAGCTTATATATAGAAGTACAATTGACTTTTGTATACTTTGTATTCTGTAGTCTTTCTAAATTCACAGATTAGTTCTTGAATTTGTTTTGTAGATTCACCTGGATTTTCTATATAAATAATCATGCCAACTGTCAATAAAAGCAGTGTTACATCTTTCTCTCCAACCCATTGCCTTTATTTCTTCTTTTTCCTTATTGGCACTAGCTGGGACCACCAGTACAACGTTGAGGAGGTGGTAAAAATGGATATCTTTGCCTTGTTCTCAATTTTAGATGGAAAGTGTTCAATTTTTCACCATTAAGTATGATGCTAGCTCTAAGAGTTCATACATGCCTTATATCAAATTTATACATGTTCTGTATTAAATTGAGGGGTTAAATCATTTTACTTTCAGACTGCTGAAAATTATCATGAATTGATTTTGAATGTTTTCAAATGGTTAATTTTATTAATTTTTGACTTACATTGATTTTCAAATGTTAAACCAGCCTTGTTTTTCAAGGCTAAACCCCACTCAGTCATGATGTACTATATTGCTGTATTCGATTAGTTTCTTGAAGGGTTTTTACGTTTATGTTCATGAGGGATATTGGTTTGTAATGTTCTTTTCTGCTCATGTCAGGTTATTTCTAGTTTGGAGTTCTTATAAACAGTCCTGTTATAAACATTCTGGCATACTTTTTGCTGCAACACTGTGCCTTTATATTGAGTATATACTTCGCAATGAAATTTCTAGGTCAGAGGGTATGTGTATGTTTAATTTTAGCAAGTCCTGCCAAAGTGGTTGTGGCTGTTTTCACCTCCACCATCAAGGTGCAGCGTGGAAATGTGGGCTGCCAGCTATTTGCTACTAGTCTGCAAAGAGGTAAGTCCAGAAATTGAGAGTGAGCACTGAGACATTTTGATAGCAATGTGCCATTGCTGAGAATACAAATCCACAGTCGGCAGCCGAGTGTGACAGTGTAGACTGACAGATGTCACACCTGCATGATGAGTCACGGGGGCAGGAGCTCCGTATTCCTCCTTCTCAGTGGGACTGTGTCTTGGTCTGCAATGCACTGGAGACTTAAAAAGAAAAAGAATGCAGGCATTTCACCACACACAGTTTAAGAAGCACTGGTGTGTGAGAACTCTGGTGGTTCCACACCCTTTGCTAACCTTCAGCAACTTTCATTTCATTCTTTCTAGTGGGTCTGGCACTGGGATTTTAATTTGCGTTTTCCCGATAACTAAGGCGGTCATATACTTTTCATATGTGCATTGGTTATCTGGAGATGTTTGTGTGAAATACCTATTTAAGTCTTTTGCCCACTTTCAAGGTTTATGTTTTAAGTCTTCCAAAAACGTTTAATCTGGGCCCTTTCCTAACTACCCACCCCCCATTTCTAAGAGGCAGAAGGTGAGCAAAATATGGGGAGGGCAAAAGCCTGATTCAAAAGACAGATTTGTCTGAGTTTATTCAGATAATTTGCAGGAATGTATACTCCAGTGGGGAGAAGACAAACAAGAAACTGATGACTTTGGATGGTGGTGGATATTAGGGAGAAGACAGGATAATGAGAGAGCAATTGGGGTGGGAGGATACTTGTGCGAGAGTGGTGAGAGACAGTTTTTCTAAAGAAATTATATCTATGCCTGCAATAGGATAGTAAGAAAGAGGCAGCCTTATAAAAATCTTTGGAAAGAGCATTCTAGGAACAGGAAATGTGAGGTGCAAATGTCCTGAGGTAGAAACAAGTTGGTCTCAGTATTGGTTAGAGAGTATTCTCTAATTTGGGTCAAATTCGATATAATAGATGCTAGAGATTCCTCCTGGCCATTGGTGGTGCTGCTCCTAGCTGCTCTGACCCTTTTCTAGTTCTGTGTCCCTTTCCCCAAGCCTTAATGTGGGTTTACTGCCCAGGACTGTGACTGGAATGAATCTTTGAGAGACTGACCTCAGGTTACTGGAGCAGCTTTGCCCACACAAGCTGACACCTGGAAGGGCCTGGGGGTTACATTCCCAAACCCATCACTGAGCTGCCCTGATCCACTGGTCGACGGATGTGAGAGTTCGAAGCCAGTTCCCTTGCCTGGAGTTGGGGCAAATTAGGGTGTAATTGAGGCTTCAGACAGACACGAGGAGTCAGGCTGCGGCTGGGACTGAACCGGAAGTCACACCTCTGGCTGTCTTTTTCCTGCCCACGCTGGTTTCTGGGAGCACTTCCTTAATAAACCGGTTGTCCCTAAATTCTCATCTGAGAGTCTGGTTTCAGGGAACCAACTTAAGACACCCTGTATATGCTTTACAACGGTTTTTCTTTTTTCCTTTCCTTTCCCTCTTTCTGTGGTACCAGACAGTAGCAAGTGCTATGAAGTCAGACAAACCAAGTTTGAATCCCACTTCTCTTCCCTGAGTTACTCCTGGGCAGGCTGCCCACTCCCTCTGGGTCTTAGTTCCCTCCCCTACAAAAGTGGGACAAAAATAGATATATTTTACCTTAATGATTGCTGCAAAGATTGATTGAAAGAACACAGCCTTTCGCACAGAGAAGGGCAAAAGTAAACACTCGGAGCTATTATTATGAAAACTTTCCAAACTTTATGAAGACGTTCGTAAAACGCTGCAAACCTTGGGTTGTAGATCTTTTAAACTGCTCTGTGTCACCGGAATTTGGCTGGGACCAGGAGAGGAGGAAGAGAACTAGCCTTTCTGGGACCTGTGAGATGCCTCTAATATGTATGTTTTTATTTAATCCTGAGATGCACCTGCCAAAAGGCAGAAGGTTCTATGAGCATTACTTTCAAGATGAGAACCCAAGGTTTAAAAGAGGCATGACGTGTAAGTCAGGCTCCAAGTCACACCCGTCTGGACAGAGCCCAGGCTGGGACCCCCGGCCCCTCTGGCAGGCCAGGCTCCGTCTTTACTTCCAGGTCCTTCCCCCATGGAAGGCGCTTGCACCTGTTGTTCAGAGGGTGCTGTGTCCTGCCTGAGATGAGTCCCACTAGGATGACTCTAGGAATCCAGAACGCCAGTGTGATGCTCTGAGGCTGCAGGGAGGACCTGCTGTTGGGCAGAGTCACTTTTCAGTCCTCAGGTCGACGGTCCGGTGAGCCTCCATGGGGCCACGCGGGCAGTGGTCAGGGCCCTCGCTGTCTCCATCCTAAGTGTGCTCACGGGGAGCCCGGACCCCGCCTGCCACAGCTCTGACCCTCTGGGATCCCAGCACTTTGAAAGTGAAGTGGGGTTTCAAGGCAGGAGGCTGATGGTGCCACGTCCGTAGGCAAATCAGATCCCAGAGGGAACGGCCTGCTCTGCGGAGCCTGCAATCCCAGGTGAAAACGGCAGACAGGCAAGGGGCTTGGCTGGAAACACCTTCACGCCCCGCCCCCGGTGCCGGAGGTAATCAGGGCGGCAAAACTGCGCCCAGAACTCTGAGCTCTGGGTCAGCTGGGACAGCTCTAGGGACAGCGACCCATTCGCGCCTTCTCAAGAGTTTCCTACGGGGAGGGGGGAGCCAAACTCACTTCAGCCAAGCTAACCCCTCCCTTACAGACACAATCCTTCCAAAAGCTGGGACAGACCTTCACACATTCCAAGAGACAGTTCCGGGGCGATAGAGTCTTGTTCCCTGACAAAGCAGTGCTTACTTACCCTCTCATTTCCCCCAAGACTGGGTTCTCCGGCAGGGGTCAAGGTGGGGAGACCCAGGCAGAACGCAGATGCGGGCCTGGTCCCAGGGCGCACGGGTCCCAGTGCACAGCTCTGCACCGAGGCAGGTGCGTGCGCCGTCCCTGCACCCTCACCCTCCGTCCGGATGCTGCGAGGGGCCCTCCGCACACCCCAGCCCAGCCTCCGGGGAGCGCGGGGCCCCACAGCAACTGAATTGAAGCCTTTTTTTTTTCAAACAACTACTTTGCGTTTTCCTTCCTCCACGTTAGCAACTGCATCCTGTCACAAGTTTATCAACAGGGCGTGCTTTCTTTGAAACAGCACACTTAATTTACAGCAGATTCAGACCTCTCTTGGCTTTCAGTCTCACACCAAAACCTGCCAAAGGAGAAATGCGTTCTCTAAAGAACAGATCAAGTTCATAGAAATAGAAAGTCAGCCTGTGCGTCAGTGTCACAGAGGAGACCTCTGCTCTGGCCACGGCAGGTGCATCCCCATCAGGCTCAGACACAGGGTCACCCGCTAGGAGAAAACAGAACCAAAAAAAAAAAAGAAGAGAGAAACAACAAGGTCCTGTTACACAGCACAGGAAACTACATTCAACACCTTGTGATGGCCTATAATGAAAAAGAATATGGAAAGGAATATACATGTATAAATGAATCACCATGCTGTACACCAGAAATTCACACAACAGTGTAAATTGACTGTACTTCAGTTAAAAAAGAAAGAAAGAAAGAAAATAAGACCAAAAAAGCGCTGCTCGAATTCTTTCAGTCTAAGTCCTAAGTGCACTGCCTGTGGGGACTTTATAGCACCTGTCACCCTGGGAGCTTGAAGAAGGGGCTCTGGGTGCCCAGATGCCACGAGGAAGAATCAGGCCAGTTCTCAAGGACAGAGACCGGACTGGGCAGGGACAGGGTTGGCAGACCCCCTCCAAGAGCCTCCCAGAGCAGGTGTGCTCTTAACTCCCATTTTCGAATGATTTCCACTGTGCACCGTGAAGTTTCATCTAAACAAAATATTTCTTTTGTTAAGAGCTTTCTCTGCACCCAGGCCTTCTGGCTGCATGAGAGTTTGACCTCCCAATCCTCCAGACTCAGCATTTGGCCGTCTGCTGTTATTTTTAGTGGAAGTATAAAAAGAACCTCAAAAAGTTGCAGCTGGGGAGGGGGTGGAGCCCAAGGTGCCTGCACACAAGTGACTTGCGCCGCCCTCACAGAACTAACTCCACCAGAAGCAGAAGGCAAAACAAAACCCACAAGGCTGCTCGTTACTCTGGAGAAGAGCTCCAGGAGCGTGGTTTTAAAAGCGAAAGTTTAGGTCGCTGCCTTCCGGCTGCTTTATCTAAGTAGGGCAGTAGAGGTGAGAACCGCGCTGAGCACATTTGTAGGTCGCATTTCCCCATGGACAGAACTCTAGCTACGCACTTCCAGGTAAGAGAACGTAGATTTCTAATTGTAAAGAAATGTTTGCTAAATTCACTTCAGAAAGACATCATCGCAAGGCACTTAGGATCCCCTAACATGTGCCTGGCACTGAGTAAGCGCGTCAGAATCTCATTTTCATTAGCCTTTCTGGGCCTTTGGACCTAAAGTCCTTTACCAGTAAAATATGTAAATAAAATCGATCGGGAAGGCTCTTTCCCCGGCTTTGGGGGTATGTGATGTAGTACCGAGTCATCGCTCCCACCAGCACTGTCACTGCTGTTTCCGAGGAATTAACAAAGAAAACCCAGGCTTAAGAAATCAGCAGTGAAGTTCAGAAGTTCAGAGCAATTTGTCTTGGGAACAAAGTCTTCCCTAGAGCTAAGAGGAATTCAAAGGAATTCTTGGCTGTTAATGGGATTATTAAAGATATACCTGAGACCAGATAAATATTTGATGATTTTGCAAAATTCTGGGGCCTCTCTGGTTTTTCTTCTGCTGACGCATTTTCCTCCCCTGAGGTCTGGACCTTGTAGCTTCATTAGACTTTGCAAATGAAGGCTGGGGTTTCCCAAGAGTGTGCATGCGTGGGAGAGCTTTGCCAGAAACGACAGACCGGGGTTTCAGGAGGGGTGTGTGCGTGCGCGTGTGCATGTGTGTGTGTTTGTGTGTGTGTGTGTGCCGAGGAGGGAGGTGGCTGTGGGAGGGAGGGTGGGAGGAGATGCGGGTTACAAAGCTGCCATCTAGAGGCCGCCTCCCTGCAGTGTATATAATGCAAGTCTGCAGCCCGCGAGCTCACAGTTCCTCCGAACTGCTCAGCCCCGAGGCGGTGCGCGCAGGAGCCGGGAAGGCGAGCCCTAAACCGGAGCCCAGCCGGGAGGTAAGGAAACTGGGTCAGCAGCCCTGCTTGGGAGAGAAGGGAAGACGGCGGTTGGTGGGGAGGGGGGTCTGCTTTTAAGCTGTGTTCTTTTGCAGAGATCTTTTTAATCACTGTGATGGGTGCTTGAGAGCCTGCAGGTCTGGCTTCCGAAAGCACAGGCTGCGCGTTGCACGGCTGCATCGCAAAGTGTGGCTGCTAACTTGGGGCTTCACCTTGGCTGCAGAAAGTAAAAAGGGCAGTTGTCTGCAGTCACTTGGGGAAGGCACTCTCCGTGTGTGTTCGCTGGATTTAGGAATCCTGGTGTTGATTTGCTGCTGCGGGTGTTTTAGCTCCAGCAAGCAGAGAACTTTACAAGAATGCAGACAGCCCGTTTAGCTTGCTTGAAGTTGGCATAGGGATCAGCTTGGCACCACTGTTTACCTGTTTCACTTCTGGTGTATCAATTGGGAAGCAGAATTGGCAGGGAAGGCGTTATTCCGGAAAGATGTACCCTTTATTAAGAGACATCCTTCAGTGGAGAAGAAAACTACACTGAGAATCTGTGTGGGTCCAGAATGTGTACTGAATTCACTGCTTTGGAGGATTACCAGGTCTTGTAAATCCGGAAGCTATACGGTGAATGTTAAATGCAGCTCGGCAGTCTTGTCTCTTGACTGCATCTTTCCTAATCTAATCTGAGTATTTATTGTTCTCTCAGAAGGTGCTAAGTCCAGCTTCAATTGGAAAAAAAAGGAGGGAGGAGAACACTCATGAGCCTAGGAGTTTGCAATTTAATTACACTCTTGAAATAAAACATGAATTTCGTTTGATTTTGTGAGCCTGCATGAAGATTCAAGGGGTGGCTGAGACTAAAAACTTTGGAGTGAGGTCAGGGATGGGTGGTTAGCCAAGACTTCTAAGTTCTAGGGAGAATGAGAAGTTGTAAAAGTCAGACTGGCTGTCTCTTTTCCTCTTTCTTTCTCTCTTTCTCTCTCTCTTTCTCTCTCTCTTTTTTTCTTTCTTTCTTTTCTTTCTTTCTTTCTTTCTCTTTCAATTCATTTGCTCACACCAGGATAATTACATTTTCCAGAAGTGGGAGAGGCCCCCCTGAAACAGTTCACAGCCCTTTGAAGGCATTCGGTGCACTGACGTCCCCTGAAACTTCATTCTGCAAAGTCTCACTGTGGTAACTTTTCCTTTTCTTTTTAAACCGTGCAGATGCTGCCTTTGTGTTCCTTTATTTATTCCAGGAAAATGCGGAGATCAAATAGGCTGGCCTGGAAAGGCAAGTGGAGGCTGCTGGTGTCTGTGCTTAACTTTCTATAGATTTTAAATGGATAAACTGCCTGCCCTTCTTTCATCAGCGCTTGAGGTTCCCCAGATGCAAAGCCCTTTTCTAAAGCAAAGTTGCACATGGGAGCGCGAGCTTGGAAACAATTTGCTCTTTTTCCTCCCAGTCTCTGCCATAAACACTCCAATGTGCACAGCCTCCTGGAGATGGGGTGGGGGGGGGACTGCAAGGGATGGGGTGGAAAAACAGAAGAAAATAGAGAATTGCCTTTATTTTGCTGCCCATGTGACTTTTCAGGGGGTGTGCATTGCAATCAGAGTTTTTAAAAAGTTCCGGAAAGTACAGCCCAGGAAGCAAGCCCGTGCTTAGCGGAGTCAGGACTCTGGAGGTGAGGTTACCCTACAGTAACAGTGAGTCTGCAGAGACTTGGGAAGGTATTATGGTTGCTAATCAGGTCCAGAACAGGCAAAGTATAGGCTTTCTGGAGGAAAAAAAACCAAAACAAAAAAACCTACTTAATCAGGAACAGTGGCTTTTTGTGTGATCACTCCAGGCAGAGAGGCTCCTGTTTTCCAGACGATGTGAGGGGAGTCAGTGGAAATTATTCAAACCTGAGACTGAAAGACAGTCATTCTATGAACCCTAAGAGAAACCGAGGAGAAGAAAAGCCTTAGAGCTTTCAGAACCTGAGGTTGTTCTGATTTTGCAGAACACGGATGGAATTTGGAGCTAGGCGGTATTTTGTACTTTTCATCCAGGAAACCAAGGAACTTGGTTTTACTCAGGAACAGAAATGGTATTAGAAGGCCTTCCGACCGAATTGCCTGTGTGTAGGTGGAACTTCGAAAGAAACCAAAGGTGGCGTGTCATGTCAAGTGGTTTTAAAGTCTGGAAACTTGTAGCTCTGGGACACATATTTTTTATTAAAGTAAAAGCAAGCAAGCAGAAGAAAAGGAGTAGAGGGAGGGCTGCTCTGATTTTGAATGCTTAATGGTTTTCTGCAGGGAAGAATCCACTTGTTTAGAAACGGGGGGGGGACCTCGTTGCATCACTATTAAAGTGATGAGAGAATTACATATTTTTATAAGGAAACCTGTACTGAGCCCCAAGTGGGTTTGGAAGCTGACCCTGTTTTTTGGTTGTTACTGTGCTGAGTATTCAGAGGGTGGAGAGGCTGAGACTGCCCCGGGGGCTAGAACTGCTCTCGGCCAGGGCCATGTAAAGGAGCAGGGGCCACCTGGGGACCGTGTGGTGAGAGCTCTGTCGGCCAGGTAGCTGGCATCTTCCAGTTTCTTATTGTAACAGAATCCCTCAATTTTAAGTCAAAGATTGTGTAGCATTCTCCTGGGAACCCTGTTATGTTTGGCCCATGGTGAGTGGCTGTCCGAGGCTGGCTGACCTCCCACTGCCTCGCCCAGGCCCTAGGCTGGGTGGGAATTAGGGCTCTGGTTACAGCCGGTCAACCCAGACGGCAGCCTTTGTGCCGTGGGAATCTCTGCATCTCTCCTTCTGGGTCCAACATCATTTCCCTGTCGGGCAGCTGAGCACAATAGAACCGATCAGGTTTCTGGATGTGGGGTTCATTTTGTCTCCCCCAACACATAAACTGGACGAGGCTGCCCAGTGTGTTAATGTGACGTGTGTCTGAGGACTCCGGAAATAGGTGGCCTCTGTCGGAATTAGGGTTTGGATTTCTCTCCCTCTATTATTTTTTTAAATTCTCAAATGATTCAGAGCAGTTCTCTTTTTTCCCATATTTTATAGCTCACTTCTTTTTTTCCTTCCTTTTTTTATTGAAGTATAGTTGATTTACAGTGTTGTGTTAGTTCCTGGTGTAAAGGCTACTGATTCATATATATATGTATACACATACACATATACACACACATATTCTTTCCATAGTATTTTCATTACAGGTTACTACAAACCATTGACTGTAGTTCCCCGTGCTCTGCAGTAGGGCCCTGTTGTGTATCTGTTCTGTATATAGCAGTTTGTATATGTCAATCCCAAACTCCCAGTTTATCCCTCTCTCCCCTCTTCCCCCAACCCCAGTAACCATAAGTTTGTATTCTGCGTCTGTGAGTGTATTTCTGGTTTGTAATCACTTTTATGGGGAATCTAAAAAAATGACACAAACACACTTATTTACAAAGTCAAAGCAATTCTTTCCTTATGCAAAGTGAGAGCAGCGGGGCACCAGCGAGTGGCAGTCTGGACGGCCTCGTTCTGTCTGGGGGACACTGGGGGACAGACGGTCCCTGGTTTGCTCCCAGCCCCAGCAGATGGTCCCCGGAGCCTGGGCCGAAACTTTCCTGGACTTCCCCATAGATTTAATGCAGGGCTGGTAAGAAACTCAGCAAACCCCACTGATGTGGGGTTTAATGACCCTTCGAGCTTGTGCTGACCCTCTTTACCTGAATTACACCTGGCCAGGTAGAAGGGGCGGGAATTCTGCCAGAGATCAGAGCCTGAGTCCCACTGGACAGTCTCCGGGAAGCTGCCGGGACAGTGAAGAACACTGCTCCCAGCCTCGTCCCTGAGACTGCCGGCCCTTCGCCTGTCTGGCCTCGGTTTCCGGATGTGTAGCAGCGGGTGGGGCTGAGCTGGGTGATCTTATCTGGGGACAAGACTAAATTGCTCCCTGAAGTTCCTCCTTGGGAGGACACAGGTCCCAACTGCAGAAAGCCAGTACAGAAGGTCACCTGCAGGCAGAGGTCCTGGCGAGTACAGAGGCCCAGAGGGAGGGTCGGCCTGGCGGGGTTACCTTCTCCGCACGGCACGCCGGTACCTGCCTCCAGCCGGCTCCGCGCCTGGCCTCCGCCACAAGCTTCTCCATGGTTTGTGTCGCCTCCGTCCTCAAAGGCCTTTTCTGCCCCAGAACCAGTCCCTTGCTCAAGACCTCGGTGGCTCCTGCACGGACAGGCCCAGCCTGGCTTGCTCAGCCAGATCCAGTGACCCCTCGCTGCCCCCTCCTCCGAGGGCTCCCCCACTGTGCTGCTCCGGGGGGCGTCCGGCACCGCCCCCTGCCCTCGCGGCCTTCTCTGTTCGCTGGAGCGTCCCTGGGGGCGGGCGCGGATTCTGGCTTGCTGTGCTCCAGAGCAGTGCCCCTCACAGATACCTGGGGGCCTAGAGATGGGTGATACTTCCCTCGGCTCAGCGAGGATTTCAGAGCGGTCTCTTCTGGGCTTCCGTGTCCATTAACGGCCTCGGATGTCGGGTCTGGGGGAGCTTATTCGCTGTTCATCTGTTGACTGTGGAGTCATCGAACACCTGCTCTGTCCAGGTGAGGTTGCTGGCTGCCCCGTACGCAGGGAGTAGGTGGGGGCGCTTGAGGAGGAAGGAGGGGAGACAGGTGAACAGCCCAGTGAGGTAGATGGAGATGCCAGACTTGGCTGGGGGGAAGGTGGGAGAAGCAGAGGGGGTATTTGGAACAGGGTTTATTGGGATGGGAAGCACTAAGGGGTCAAGAAGGGTCTTCCAGGGTTGTGATGGGGAATCGCAGACACACTGAAGGCAGTTGTGGGGAACACCAGCCAGATACCTGATCGCTTGGCAGTCTCTGTCCTGGAGGGAGTGGCTTCTACTCAGTGAAAGGATATATTTATTGCAGGCCAAACTGCCACCCTGTGGAGACCCTAAATTGGAGACTTCTAATTCTAGCTGTGCCCCCAGCTTGCCAGATGAGCTCAGGGAACGCATTTGGAGGCAGCTGGATGTGTCAGGCCGCTTGCTGTGGCGCAGTGGTTGCCAAGGAGACTTGGTGGATGAATAATAAGCCTGAGAGATGAGTGGAGCATCTCCCTTCCACCACGTGGGGACCCGAGTGGTAGAGGAGTCCTTTTACAGACCCCGGGCTGGGGGGGTGTGGTGGGCGGTGATGGACGGCTGCTGGTCCTCCGTCCACAGGTTGTAGGAAAATCCACTGCCTTCCTGGCGGAAGTGTGATGCCCTCCGGCTGCAGGTGTCGGGCACGGAATCTCTCAGAAGCGACCCCCAGGAAGAGGGCTCAGAGAGAAAAGCAGCGCGTTTTGGGAGAAAGGAAATGCAAAGCGAGGCGTAGTGCTTCGTTCTCACGTGGGGTCTCTTGGTCTGGAAAAATGGACCATGAGCCTTTATTGTTCCGTAGAACACTCCTCCCTCTGTAAAAATTTACATAATTCTTGATGCCAAGTTTCAAATAATACAGATGTGTATAGAGTAGAACTACAGCTCCCCTTTGTCCCCTCATCCCACAGTCCCGGCCCAAAGTCACATTCACACAGATTTTTTTCCATGCCTTTATGCGCATGTATTTACCTATGAAATGCACATGATTTTTGCTTTTCCTTTTTGCACGCGAGACTGTGCTCTGTGTGCATGTGTATCTTTCTCTTACTGGTGTGTCATAACTTCCCGTGCTCGCGAAGGTGAGCGCCTCCTTCCTCTGTGTGGCTGTGCTGCAGTCCAGACAGCCGTCTGATGTCATCCCCACTGTTTTGCTGGTGTATAAACAGTGCTTCAATAGACATTCTTGCACATGCATGTGGGGACCTGTGACTGTTTTGAGAGGAGATGTGTGAACTTGCAAAATCCACGACCGGAAACATCTTTTCTTCCAAGCCCCGTTTTCCCCTCCATCAGGAATCCTTATGCAGATGTTACAACCTGTGTCAGAAGTGGCCTCTCATCCTCCTGCCCTGGGCCGGGGGAGGCAGGCAGTGGGAAGGTGTGGCTGACGCCCAGAAGCCCCTCCTGAGCTCTGGCCCGAGCGAACGGGAGCGGAATCACTGGCTTGTTCCAGCAGGGGGGGTCTGGTCCGAGGGGTGAAGGCGTCTCCTCCGGTCCCGGGATCATCAGGGCGCTGCTGCCCCCCCGGAACACTCGGGCCAGCCACGCCTTTGGGACGTGTGACCGTGTCCACGAGGAGCCAGGGCGGGCCGGTCTTAGTCAGTTGGCACACAGGGAGTGGGCCGTCTCTATTGGATGGGGTGATCCTCTGCTTTTGCCCCAGGGGAGTGGAGGTGCAAGGTCTCAGGAGGTCGGAGTGGCCCGGGAGTCCGTGGGTGGCTCCCTCACTCCCTCCTCCCTCAGGTTTGCTGGGAGCTTGGAGGCCGGGCCTTGGGGACCCAGGGGCCTGGGCAGACGTCTCGTGGTGGCTGTATCCCATCCCTGCTCACGCTGGGGGCTCTGAGAGCATCGCTGTTAAAACCTACGCTGGTGACTTAGGAATATTCTCATCTGCGGGGAGGGTCACACACTGAGCTCAGCGCCCAGACCTCCTGCACACACGCTCGGGCGGCCGAGGACCACATTCGACGTAATGTGGTAGATTGTCTTTGTCAAATAACATTCTCTTTTCTGGAAACAGCCCTTGTCTGTTTCCAAAACAAAATGCATGAAAAAACAGCAAACGACAAAGGCCAGGCCATCGTGTGGCATGTTTTTCCTTCTCTTCAGCATCCCGTTTCAGTCTGCGGAGGGCTGGGTCGCTGCACGGCTGGTGGAATCTCCTCTCTCCGTGATCTCCCTGCTTCTTTCCACCCCGCCCTGGGAGGGGAGGGGCTGGTGGGTCCCCCAGAAGAAGATGGGCGGTCAGGGCACCGACCTCTGCAGCACACCCAGGGCTGATTGGTAACTGATGATTGATGATCAGCGATCGACGATCGGTGCGGCCAGCTGGCTTGAATCTCCAGCCAGGAGCCTCCCAGCCTCTGCTGTCCCCTCAGCCCCTCAGATTCCCACGTGCCCCCCAGGAGGGAGCGGAGAGGAGACGGATGCAGGGGCGGGTGTGCCCAGCTCGTAAGTAACGTTTCAGGCTCAGACATCACTAAATCAGGTTTTCTTCGCCCAGAGGGCCAAGGCAGGAACCGAAGGACTTGATTGGGGTCCCTGAGCCCTTCCCCACCACAGCTCAGGCTCCAGGAACTCAGAAGGCTGGCCAGCCCCAGAGGAGTGAGTGTGGGCGATCTGTCATGTGGGAGAAGTGCGGGTCTAGAGGGACACTGGTGCCTGGTCATTTCCTGGAGGCCCCTGCATGTGTGGGTCCCTCTGTCCACACTGAACAGCGTCCTTGCCTGGACACTGGAGGACACAAGCGAGCAGAGTGACTCCTTCGGGTGGAGATGGAGGTGGGGGCTTGGCATCCAAGCCAGACCAACAAAGGCTGGGGCCCTTCCTCTCTCTCCCGCCCCTGGGACGACCCTGGTGTTTATGGCTGCGTCCCCGAGGCCTGGTAGGGCTGTAGTGGTGCGGGGGGAGCGGGGGAGCGAGCCCCACCCAGGCCCTGGCCCCCTCTGCCTGGCTGCGGGGCTGCGGCCAGTCCTCCAGCCAAACTGCTCCGCTCGGCAGGGACTCCGGGGCCAGACGACGTCGCGGCGTGAAAGCGCTCTGTGAGCGAGGCCACGCTGCAACTGTGTTTCATTTTAAGGAAATGGAAAAAAAAGTCTCTAGGTTTGAGCCATGCCGGAGAGCAAAGCCCGAATCGTGCTTCGCGCTCCTCTGGAGT